ATACACCCCAACACCAATAACATGCTTGGCCATGCCCGGATGTGGCTTGAATTGGTGTCACCTCAAGATTCTGCCGAATGTGTGTGTTTGAGATTCTGCCATGGTGGCCGAAGTTCCCTGGATGTCCCCCCCCCACAACCCCTAGGGCTCCAAGTACCTCCTCAGAAGGTATTTGGAGCCCTAGGGAACGCTTTCTGGTGCAGAACTGGAAAAGCCGACCACGAGCGGCTCGTGGACAAAACAAACCTCAAATCCAAGCGTCGCCCGTCTTCGCCACCAGCACAAAGAGCCAACTTCTCCTGTCGCTGTGCACTTGGACCTTGCGAAGGAATGCCTATCCCTAAAATCTCCAAGTACCTCCTCAGAAGGTATTTGGACCCTTTAAATGTATTTGGAGCCCTACGGTATGAATCAATGGACACTTTTGGAGACTCCGGGTGCAAGGATGAAATACGACCAGTCGGCCTAAAGGCTACCTCTCCCGGCATCACTCTCAGGTGTACAAGTGCCAGTCTCAAGCCGTTTCAACCTGGTTTCACCAATCCTTCCTCCACCCTGGCCCCCAACATGACCCCCCCATGCAGTTCTCCTCGCTCCCTGCGCTGGGATTCACTGGCTGCAGTGCCACCGCCAAGATGGGCTGCTGCGAATGCTCAGTGACCCACGGCTCTCCAACGCCACCTCAGGCGCCACGGGGTGGTGCCAGGGGCTCAACGGATCGGCATAGATGGCAGCCCCTTGGAGTGGATGGGTATATATATATACAGCGGTTTCTGGAGTAGATCGCACCACCGCACAGATCAGATGTGTAAAGATGGTGGGTCCATATCAACCAAGAGAGGTTGAGAGACCATATAGGACCCTGTAGTGGTACATATGGGATGGGGTATAGGTCTGTTCAACCTCTGTTGGAAAGTTCCTGGCTGGGGAGCACTTGTGCCATCGAAAAAACGTTCAATCCACCATACTTCCTAAGAGGTGGAGTGAGATGTGTCCGACGGTGTCAGGGACTTGTGGCCGTCCAGCTGGGGCAGAAGCTTGCGATCGCACGCCATTGGCGTCCACCATTGCACCGCCCCTTGCACGCCAACGTGAACAAACCTGCTGCAGCTTGTTGAGGAAGGGGAGTCTGAGTCAATTGGATTAGAGGCTCTAATACCGGTAGGGATGGTCTTGATCACGAGTTCATAGATATACGTAACATGGGGGTATTGACCACCTGAACACCATCATGTTGAATGTCCTACAATCCTAATATAACTCCTCAACAAAAATATAACACTGCCCACTATAAAATCAGAGGTATGATTCTCTTAACTTAACTATAAACAAAATATAGGGGAGTGAACCCCCTCATTCAATAGAGGGATATGGGAACTATAGATCCATAGACGGCTGTACAAAATCAAGCGCGCTGAGCAAACATCCAAGCCCATAATGTTCACTCGTGTTGACTCTAAAATGTGACCATGTTGTCTATAATAGCTGCGAGTCCTGACACCCTTTTTCTAATCCTTTCTCTCTCATTCTCTCTCTCTTCTCCATTCAATTGGCACGTTTCAGGCAGGATATTGCCAATAACCCGGGGTGGCACAAAACGACATACTCCAAGATCCAACGGGTTCCAACATACCCCAAGTGAGTGGATGCTCTGGGCACCCCTACCCTCTCAATGTCACTCAGAGTTGGGCGGTCTTTCGGCATTCGGTAGCATTGGGTGGGGGTCTTCATTCTTCCGCACCAGCTGAGAATCCCTCCTAAACGCAGCGCTCGACCGAGCACCCCCCCCTCCCAAAATCAACCCCCAAAACAATGTCCCTCCAAAACCTCTTCAAACACCGCTGATCCAGGACCTCTCCTTGACCCTCTCCATGACCTTCGCTTCCTCCGTCCGTCCGTCGCATGATCCGTCGATTCACAGCCCAGCCGCCGAAGAGAGGATAGACGGTGATCCGGCCGTCCGCACAGCCGCTGACGCAGCGCAGGCCCTCAAGGCCCAAAGCCTGAGGTCGGGGTTTGGTGGATGTTAGAAGGCTTCGGAAGCGGACACCAAAGTGACGATGTTTGAGAGATGCGGATTGAACTTTGCAGTGTATGTTAAGAAGTCGGCATGTTAAGGGTGTAACCATGTCATAACCCCATTTTGGTGGGGAGCCAGAAGTACTTGAAGATAATGGCCAAGGCTGTTCCCCAGGAAAGGCTGTGGACCCTAAAGACCGCGCCGATCGTCCACCCTGTGCTTTACGCGCCCCGAACAAACGTCACCGCGTCAAAAGCCATGAAAGCCCCCCCACAGCGTGGCCTGGATGCAGGTGTTGTTGCTGGAGATCTTCCTCGGGAGATGCGGAGCCTATCCCACTTGCTCTTGAAATGAATGAACTGCAGCCGGCTTTCAATCTGATAAACGGAACTAAATTAACTGTAACTGTATTTAATTCGCACGAGTTCAACCATTTTGCAATCTTCTGCTCTGCTGGAAATCTGGTCTTTCCGCATCAGCAGTTCATGCAAAGTGGCATCACCGAACATGGCCAGCCCAAAAGCTCCCAGCCCTATTCCTATGCACCTCCCCACACGCAACTCATTCTGCAAAACGCCCAGTGGCCGCAGTTGCTGCGGCGCCTCAGATGACATAGCACCAAACTGTGGTAGGTCTTGGGTATGTCAGTCCTATTAACAGCGCCGTTAGGAAAGGCCTTTCTCCAAAACTGTGATAATTGAAGAACCACTGCACAAGGCTGAAGTCTCCCAGCTGTTGGGCGCTGAAGCATGGACCCCTCTGTTGATCCAGCATGTTGCTTGCTCGATGATCATCTCGTGTTTCACAATCTTCACACCAAATTCCTTTTACAACCATCATCAACCATTCAAACAGAAAACAGACTCGGCCCAGCTGCACCGTGCTCGAGGATGTAGATGGAACCCAAGCGCGTTCCAAGCGCGCAACACCGCGCGCCCACGGCCAACGCCGTGATCTGGCCGACGGCGGCCATGCCCGCGCCCCCAGTGGTCCGACCCGAATGCGGTGGGGAGGATGTTCTCACCGAATCTGAAAAGCTCCGATAGAACACCCACAAAACTAGCAGAGTTGCACGAACTGTGGCACTGAAAACCCCCAACCTGGGGGAAACATCGAAAGCACTGGAGTGAATACCATGGTTTCCTGCACCTCTCCCCTTGAGCAGTCCATTGACTTCGTGAAAGGAGGGGAGTGTGGCAGATCTGGCGAAGGGTTCCGGCCTCATCTGTAAAGGCGGCATCTGCCAAAACCTTGGAGACAGAATCGTTTGGATGGTTGGGGATGACACAAAGGGACTTGTATATATAATATACAACACAGGTCATGTCAAATTTCGAAGCATACTGAGAATTATGTATTTCAAGCACTTCGCTGATGGTTCAATGTACGACCTCGTATAAGTCCTCTCATGAAAATAGGGTTCTACAGCCCCAACCCACACCCGCATTGGGTGGCCACACAGCAGCAAGGGTACAGAACTCTTTAAATCCAGGAGAGACTGTGAAACTCAATTAGGCCGCCCGTACAAAAAGAGTGACATAGTGGCACTGTTTTGGTGGACAGGGCTTTGACTAATACGTGCTCTATTGATCAAAATCCAGGAATTCTCAGCCTCAAATACACAACACGACACAAACAAAATGAGTGGCGCGATCTTCTTTCGCGTGGGCACACAGTGGCACACAGAATCTGGCACAAGTTCTTGCCACTCGAAACAAGTTAACCGGAGAACCCAGCACAGAATAGACTACGTGCAAAGATTCGTTGAAGGTCGTTGTTGGTGTTGTTGATCCACTCACGCTACTCTGATGTGCCACCGCTCCTTTACCTGGCTTACAGGAAGGTCTAGCCTTCCATGTCACCAAGTTGCAGTGCTGCTGAGATTCTTGAATTCCACCAATGGCTTCCCACGCCGCTCAGTCTCCATGGTGCATGGCGCGTTCGCGACCCTGGGTCTAGGTGCTCTAAGAGCAGCCCGCGACCCAGGTGAACACCACGAGCTGCTTGCGCAAACTATGGGCCCAGGTGTTTGGTCTCAGGCATTGGGTTTTTTTCGTTGGCAGATCGTTATAGCTGTTCTCAGTGTCTGTGTGCGGTTCAGGCCGATGGTTCTTCCAAAACCCAAGTTGCAAGAGATAAGTTGGAGGTTCTTTATATCGTAAGAACCACCTAACCTTTAAACTTTAGGTGCAGTCTTCTTCTCCAGCCGTTTAAGATCCGCTTGAGGTTTTTCAGGTCTTGCTGGTCGGAGCCTGCATGGAGGCTCCCACCCAAAGCCCTTAGAAGAAGGAGCCTGCACAAACAGAAAGATATCAAACAATATCAATACACAAAATATATATATATATTTTTTAAAAAAAAAAAACAACATGGTGTTGGTTGGTAAGAGGTTCAAGAGGTTCCCTCATTCTAAGATACACCACCCGATGATTTCATGAGCACCGCCAATCGAAACCCTCCTGGAGCCCGTCGTCGCAGCGTCGGTGCAACGCCTCGTTGCGGGAACTCCGTTGGGTGATAGGAATGATAGGAGCAGAATGGCCCCAGCAGTTGGTCTTTTGAAGGAAACTGTTTTGAGTAGGGGTATGGGCAATACAAAGACAGCAATGCATCGCAGGAGAAAGAAATGACTCCATCAAAGAAGGAGGCCTTTATCCTCCAGCCCCTTCTGCAAATTGGTCGCCCATGATGCGAGGTGAATCAGGAAGATCGGATCCATGACCAAGATTTTCAAAAGGGTGCTATCCATGGACCATGGAGGAAGTGGGGGTGCCCATTATCCACTCACTTATGGCTAAACACCACCCCGTCTTGTGACCCCTGGGAGATGTGATATGCCTTCACGCCTTCTTAGTGGTTTCTGCATGTTCCATTTTTTCCAATCATCATCCAAACACGACGCACGACACCTGCGTCCTCGGTCGTCCAACGCTGCGTCCGTGGACGCGGTCGTCGGTTCCGTATTCTTCAGGTGCCGGACGGACAGCACTTGGTTGCCGTCGGCATCGTAGCGGTTCCAAACCTTCTTCAACCTGTATACGGTGTTCACCGAGGCTGGCAAGGGCGGGCGGGGTGGTTCCTGGGCTCCCTCTCTCTCTCTATACGTTATATATATATATGCATATATCATATCTAATAATTATATACATAACCGAAACATGAAACAAAGATTGTTCTTCAATCAGTATCCCCAAAAAAGCAACAAACATGCGATGGTGCAACTCACCTCGTGCTTCAGGCACTCCATTGAACTGCCAAACCACCCCTGGCATGATTGGCACATGATGGCAGTTCCCAAACAGGTCGTGTCTGGGATATGCTGGCTTCTGAACATCTTCCAGAAAGAGTGAAGGACCAAACGGCCACCACCGTACCCAGCCGCTGAGGATCAAGCCATGGTCAAAACACTTACCCTAATCGTTTCGGGGATGGTGATGCATCATCTTGAAATCCGTTGAAATTGAAATGGAACTCGGATGTCAACATATATGTCAACATCGGTTCATGTATGTGAAAAAAACTACTTAGCCGCCCCCTTCAGCCACCTTCTGAAAGGGATACACGCAAACACGGCTCCGGCTCCTCAAAGCCTTGTTGGTTGGCTCAAAGCCTTGCTGCGCACCTCGCAAGGTCCTGGTCAGAGAAACCCGCGCGTGATTGAATGAGGTCATAGATCTGCACGAACCTGGTCAAGACGCGGAAACAGGGTCGGGTGAAGACGGAAAGAACTCTAACATATATATATATATATATATTGGGGCACTGGAATGGCTGTGAAGTTGCGGCCACGCGGGAAAAACGTTTAGAGTGCCTGCACAATACAATCTATACACATATCCACACCCTATCTCCCTTTCACGAATGCTGAGCCTGAGAATCAAGGACAAGAGGTGTGGGATGCAGTAGGGGCGTGGTCATTTCATGTTCATTTCTCCAACTCCAAACCCAGACACGACCTGGACCTGGGACTGCCAGTCCGGACTGCCTCAAAACGGCCGACCGGGGTGGTGCCAGGGGGGTCGGCCTCTGGGGCGGCAGTCCTATGGCAGTCCCATGGAGTGTCTGGGAAATTGTTCAAACTACGCAGAGAAGCGGACAACATCTGATCTTGCCGCACCTGCCGCTCTTACAGATTCGACTGTGACCGTGGTCTGTAATGTCCATGTCGGCGCATCCGAAGAGTCAACTCTACTTCCAGTGTGGGAGGGGTGGGGAAAGCAAGTCAAGGCGGGGAAGCAAAGGAAAAAGGGGAGGAAAGCGAGTTGCCAGGAGCCACCAATCGGAAGAGACATTTTAGACCACCCGGATTTGAGTTCGTTCAGGACCACTGCAAAGCAAAGCGAGTGGAAAAGAAAACACGTGTGGCAAGCAAGCTGAACAAAGAAACGGAAGTGAATTGAATCAGCATACCATAAAAACAAGCTCTAAGACAGTCTGAGCAACCCATGAACTGCTTGTCTAACCGCATCACTCCCAAAATGCCTCGGTGAAACAAACTCAAGGATCCCCAAGATCCGAGCGCAGGAACCATGATGGCTCTTGCCAATCGTCTCAGTTTCGCCGCATCCCCCTCTCTGTGCCAAGGAGCTCTTTGAAAGAGAGATCCCGCAACTCGCGTTCACCTGGCCAAATCGTTCCACCTTTGAATGCTTTCCTCAGCAGAGGTATGAGATAGAGTAAGTCTATAACGGCAGTAGAACATGTCAGAGTATACGAGGGTTCAGTTCACAAATGCACTGTTGGTGCCAAGTAAGTTTTTCACATGGTCACCTGCCATCGATTCTCTCCAAAACCCCCAGATATCGGAGTTCCTCACCCAGCTTCATGCTGAACATAATGAGCATAATGTTATAACTTTTGTGGGGGCCGGGTATAGTACAAATAACACTATATAACGCATAACTACCTGGACCATCCTGTTGGGGTGCCCTGTCTGGAAGCCTATAGGTCCTATAGGTAGTGTGGGGTAGTCCAGCCAGGACTACCCCTTGGATGGTCCTGGTATATATGACTCTCTAAAAAACTCTATATAAAAACTATATATATTATATCGATATATTACTATGTATAACGTATACCTATGTTTATAACGATAAATAACTCTGTACGTGGAGGTCTTGGACACCGCGGCAGGCCGTCCGTGTCCCAGGCCCGAGGCTCCCGCCGGTCACTTCTCGGAAGATCCGCTCCACGCAGCTCATCACAGGCCTCGGGGGTGACAGCAAACACAACGCCTCCGGACCCAAAACCCGAGTGGGGAGCAGGCAGGGCATGTGCTGGTTGCCGCCGCACCGACACATCGAGTTGGGGGATATTCATTGCATATTCATTCCTTTTTGGTGATGGGGAATTTGTGTGTTAGAGGCTTTAGTGGAGTTTCTCAGGGCGTTCCCCGTTTCACACTTCCCTGCTGGATCCCCTCATCTCCCCTGCCACTAGAAAGGACCTGTCCAATGCAGAAACATGCAGAAACGCTTCACTAAAGCCGCTGGGGGAAACGATCCTTATTGGGTTCAACTCCTCCTTTAGCACAAGCCGGACCAACCCTTGTCTTGCCCCCCTAGCTGTGAACCCATGTACTGCTTGGTTGGGTCGAAACAGGGTGGATGGGGCATGTCCCAAAACCTCTGAGTACAAATTTGCGCACCAACAGCACATGGAGCCCTTGCACAACTGGACTGACACTGATCAGAATCAGATTCTTGAACCTTTGTTCCTAGTAGCTTTTTGTTCCTAGTAGTAAGGCCACAAGCCTAGTAGCTTCTTGTCCACTTTCACCTGGGATCAGAAACAATACATTCCAGGGAAGCTTGGTGACTCCCTGCATTGGAAGTGATCCTGAAATGCCGCCCCTTAGAGCCACGGCGGCCCCTCATCACCAGACTTCGCAGAAAAATGGACCGTATTCGCATATCGTTAGAGGTTTGTCTGGAATATCATAGTCATTAGTCGTCCTCCTCCTCATCGTCTGTGTATAGACCATAATACAAAATAATACAAATTTAAACAAGCATCCTCCAACACGACTCTTCTGGAGTTGGAGACTTTAAACAAGTTGCAGGTCGTGGATCTGTTGGAGGGTCCTGCTACGGACTCCCCCACTTCCGTTTCCAACATTCTGGATACTCAGGATCTGACCAAACCTGCTCGCCCACAACGAGATCCAAGAAAAAAAAGGAAAAAACAACTGGGCCCTCCTAAGGCTGGCACGTGATGCCCCGCCGCTTCAGAAGGACAACCTCAAGTGACTCCAAGGGTCTTGGCGAAGCAACAAGTAACATGGAATTGGAGGAAGACTTGTTGCTCCAAAAAGCGTCCCACTCCGCAAGCCAATCACCAACAGCACTGCCAATTTTTTCACCTAACTGCACTGCCTAACTGCCAAACTTCTCGGGTCAGCTAAGAATCCCAATGCCAAAACAACGGACTCTCTAGAATAGCAATGAATTTCAGGAGAGAGAGAGATATATATATATACACAAGCACACACACACACACACACTGATAGTAACATTTCAATAAGCCAACAAACTAATATTTGTGAAAAGGGGAAGGAAAAAACAACTCTGGGCCCACTGGGCCCTCCAACGATCTCGTCCAGGCTCAGGGTGCCGGAACCATCGGTGTCCACCTCGACCAAGCCGCGCTTGACCGGACCGTGGGCGGGCGAAGAACGCGCCGCCCTTGCGTCGCCACATAGAGCGGTCCCCAAATAGATAGCGGATGATAGTGGCACGATGTCCAATACATGTTCTACGATGTTCTACGTTGGGATCTACTTTTCCATCTATTTGGGGGTCCAAACAAATGCACCTGACATACATGTTGGGTATATTATCCTATTCCCACTGGATGATGGTGTGGTTGCAGGCCTTGGTCAAAAGTGGTGCTGTATAATATAGCGCTAATTGTTTACCGACTGTTACAGGTAACGGGACAAGCCCTGATAATCCCTGATATACATCGACCTTGACACTCCATAAGACTGGATTACTATGTGCCGCTGACCCCACTGACCCCCCTGCACAGCGAATGAAACAGCTGCGCTCCACGTGCTGCTACAATCCGGTTGTTGATACAGAAATCCGGACAACTGCATTCACCTAGGCACCTAGGAGTTGCTCCATGTCCTGACAAAATGTCTTCTGATGACAAAATGTCTTCTGATGAAGCGCCGAGGGTCTAACACCCTTGGGCAATCCCGTGACTTCAAGGGGCAATACCACAGAGCTTATAAATGCATATATATAATTATGTATCATGTGATATCTTTCACATAGCTTTCACATGCCACAGGCACGAGAGTTATGTACACAAGCCAGAAGGGTTCCAGTGCCAGGTACCCTTTTCAGAGTGCTTCCTTTGGGTTCCATAAACCTTGCAAAAGTAGACCAATTATGGGTCTGTCGACATATCTGCATGTTCCGCATGTGCATCCCCCGACATCTAATTGTGGGTCCCCCCCCTCACTTCAGCGACAAGCTCACCTCACTTTGCCTCATCACCACGTAAAACGCCCTGTGCCTCGCGAAACATCCGTACCATGAACGCATGCCGGTGCCGGCGATACCTCGCCCAGGTGGCCCGCGCTTGCGGCCTTGAGGATCGTGTACCAGTTGGTTCGGTGGAGTAAGGGGAGCCCATTCTCTGAGTGATGCGCCTGTTGGAACCCAATCAGGGCTCCAGTCGTAGCGTCTAGATGGCCCCTCAGGCCGCCTTCAGGTCAGACCTGGCACCTCGTCGACCTTGCCAGGTTGTTCGTGCAGGGAAGGACCAGACCGGTCTGGGCGGTGTGGTCACTGGAGCCAAGTGGTACGAGGTGTGAGGGATGTACAGTGATGAACCTCTCTCTCTCTCTGGCAGTGTTTTTCTCGTCCCAGAGTCCGCCCAACATGAACCATGCACCAACTGGTGAATCTGAAGAACAAGAAAAGCGTGATCACTGATTCCAAAATGGCTTCGAATGGACTGAACAACCAATGCACGGACCCAGAGCCCATCAAAAGCTGCCGCGGATAAGCCTCCAACCTTAACCTGGATGCTTTGCAAGTACTAGAATCAGAATAATGTATCAAAATAAACACATAGCCACCACTCGCGTTAACCGTCCAAAGCCAAGCTCTGATCATCCTTGATCTTGCCATAACCGTCATGTCCAGTGCGCTCCACCACCTGCTATGCCCTGCTATCTCAGTGGGCACAGGTTGACAAAGTCGATGAAGTCCCCACGTTCCAGGTACAACCTGCGATGAAGTCCCCACGTTGCTTCACTTGCCCCAAAGAAAGCACTTGGGGCAAGGTCTTCATACCAACAACACGGTACACGATGACCACCATGACCGCACTTTGTGTCTTGATCAGGAACCATGACCATCCATGACCCACTCTGCTTCAAAGATTCTGTTTGGAACGTAACCTAGCTTCTCACCATGAGCTTGGGGTAGGCAGGTTTACATGCATTTCCCTTCAACTCTGCAACTCGCACTCGGGTAGCAATCCCATCTTCCCACATCCGACCCTTCCCTCCAGCCGCATCCGACCCTGTGGGCCTCAAGTCTTGGCTCCGTCTCTATCCCTGTTCTCTCACCGCGGCGACGGCTCAGCTCAGCCACGCGCGGAGGCGCCTGCCCGGAAAGTTCGTGAGGAGAATCTCCCGGACCCACCTGTCGGGAGGATGCGGGCGACACCAAGTTCTCGGAGCTGCGGCGCGGGACCCTGAGCCACTGAGGAGAGAGAGGACCTGAGAGAGAGAGAGAAAGAGAGAGAGAGAGAGAGAGAGAGCTGCGAGTGGAAGAAAACACGAGAAACAGCTCCGAAAGCCGCTGCGAAGAGGTACAAAGAGCACGTGAGGCTTACCGAAGAGAAACAAAACACGCCAGAACACGGTGGCTTTGAGGTAGAAGTATGCAAAAGGGGGTTGTCAATTTTCACAGACTCACTCACGGCGTGCTTCACCACCATCCCGGCCATCTGGGCTCTCGCACTCCTTGTCACTTCCTTTGCCTGGGTGACTTCGCCCAGTGAGCTTCAGGCGTTCAACACCCTGTTCTCAACGGAAAGGGATGCTTTCACCATTTCCAACAGCCACACCACCAGCAGCAACAACAGCAACAAACAATTATAAATGATAGCCAATAGCAGCAACACTTTCTAAACAGCCTCCTGGTCCGCCGCTAGGAGAGTTGTATACCTGCCTTCGTCCAAGCTCGCTTTCAGTGGGATTCAGTGGGTATACCATGCGGATCCAATGGGTGTGAAGTTGGGGTCCCTACCAATTTCACCTCCAAGTCGACGTGAAAACCTCACCTCCATCCCACCTGGGCGGCGCTCCTCCATCCTTCTCAACACGTGGTTTACACCCGGCGCTGCACCGGTTCTCGGGCGTCCGGACCCTCCAGAAGCTCGAGCCTGGGCTGGTGGAGTAACGCCCGACCTACGGACCACCAGGGCGAAGGTTGGGGAGGGGCCTTTCCATCACGACTTGTTTGGAGCGGGCACCCAGGATGTGGGTTTTTTGGAGCTACGAGTAGCTGGGCAAACCCAACAAATATCGTTGAGAACTGGGAACAGGTTTGGAACGCCATCCAAGACACACTTGGGTTCACAGTGTCTACTGTCACACAGTGTGGAAGTGATGGACGTGCCTCGTGCTCTAGTTTGGATGATTCCGGGCCAGAAATCCTGAGCGCAAAGGGTCCCTGCAGATTTCATCTCCACTTTATTCAAAAACTTGTCAGACTACTGAGGCTTCTTGACTCTCACTTTGCAGGTCGCGGGAACAATTCAAATGCAACTTCAGCATCAACTGGACAAATCGCACCCGGTCCGTACAATTAAACTGATCATGGTTTTGGAGTGTTCAGATGAGCCTATTGTAATTTACTTCAAGCTGACAGGATCCACTGAGTTCATCTATTAAGTTATAGTGTATTATAGTGGCCACCCTGCTAGAATCATGAGTCTGGACATATGTACAGTAGTATCAATGATTGCTTCAGAATTGCTCCTTTGCGAAGACAAATCCCCCCAAAAAAGGTGGTCCTCCAGGGAACTGCGAGGTAAGTAGCTTCATAGTATGTCATACATGTTGACAAGTCCTTCCTAGGCTCCTGAGATTCAGGGGTTCCTCAAGTACTTGTTCAAGGGTTCTTCACACGATGCTGGTCTTGGACATGGAAACCGGATGTGGGTCTTCAGCCCACGGAAGTTTCGCCCAAGTCTCTGGATGTCCCTGGATGAAAACAAAACAAAACATTGCATCAGGCTATCAGGCTTCGTGCACAACTGCACAACCCTGAAATATCTTGACAAACCTGATCAACGGCATGGGTCTTGGGCCTTAGAGCACTTTTGCCATGCATCTTCGGCTTCCTCTTCTTTGCAAAGGTTGTCTTTTTGGTCATGCTGCCAGTTCCAAACCCCGATTTTCCAAGCACATCTGCCACCGCTGCCCCCGCCACTGCCCAGTGACCCTTCGGCCACACGCTCCACCGTGAGGTCGCCGTGGTCACAAAGCCTGCTCTTGGATCGCTGCGCGAAGGCACGGAGCAACACGTCGGAGCGGCTCTCGGTGGCCGGGGCACCGAGCTGTGGCCGAGGTAGAAGGAGCTGTGGCTTCAATGTATTACTTCTCATCTCACAAGCACCATGCTCAACACCATACATATATATATATATTATAATATCATAATAGCAGTTTGCATGTATCTAACATCCTGCAACTGATGATGGTCATCGTGGCAAGGGAAAAAGCTTCCTTCTGGGCCATCTTGCTTGTGATGTATTGTCTGGTGCCTGATATACACACATACCACTCATATTGGAGTGGGTATCATCTGCATGAAGATCAGCCCTGCACTGCATAGCCCAATACCAACAACCACATGCCTCAATGGTCAAGCAATTGGTCCCCGCCAGGCATGGATTGACCCAACATGACCATGAGGATGTACAGTCGGATGTATGAGGATACGCCCAGTTTAGACTCCTCTTTCCTTCCCCAAATTGGTAACACTTCCAGGATCCTACCAAGAGAGGTCAAGTGACCTTATAAAACCATTCTGGGGTACCTATGGGATAGTGTATGAGGTCCTTCAACCTCTCTTGGTACGAGACATACATTTGTTGAAACTGTGAAACAATCACAGGAAGATGGGCCGATGGGCCCCTTGGAAGACCATGTTCCTCTACGTTCGCGGGGCGGTCTGCTCACTGTTTATTGGAGGGGGGGCCTATCAAAACCAAAGTAGACAAGCACGGGTGCGGTTGCACATGGTTGCACCTTTGCCTTTTGACATCATTTTGACCACGTGACTTCACACCAACATGCCCAAAGCAGGAAAGTGCGTTGAGGGGCATGACATCTCTGAGGGCGATCAACACGAAAAGTGACATGACATGAATGACATGCTGAGGGGGGCCACTGTGCCCAGGCTTTGCTCACAAGCGCGATCACGCTCACCCAGGCGCCCTTGCTGCCCAAAGATTTGGTTCAAGCTAAATCGATCTGCCTCAGCTGGACCGGGAGCCGCCAGGAAGTGACATGCTTGGGCGTTTGACCTGACCTCGGGCATGTCTACGAAGATGATAGATCTGAGAGAAATTAGAAGATGCAAGTGGAAAAACCCAAGTCAAAGGTGAAAGATAATGAAAGAAGAAAAATCAGAAGAATAATAATAAGTAGAAGAAGAAGAACAACCCCAACCTGTTCTAGATGCTGCAAATGTGACCTTACAGCAAGCTTAGAAAGACATTGAAAAGGACGGTAAACCCTGAAAGACCGCTGCTTCTCCCCCCCCAATCCAGCCCAGGGCAGGGCAGCATCTCTCTTCTCTCTTCGAGGCCCAGCCACGGCGGACACGAAGTTGGTCGTCGTGTCCAGTGGCTCCGGTGCCTCCGACTGAGATTGCGGGATTGAAGGCATGGGACACCAACATCCGCCACGGCATGGGACTGGAAGAACAAGACTCCGGGCCCGAAGCAACACATCGGCTTTGCTTCGGGTCCGGACCCCTGCGTTTCGGTGTCGGGTCCGACCCCTGGAGAGCCCAAGGATTCTTTGAATCATCGTGATGGTTCGGACGAACAGCCACCAGAATGGGTTTTTGTTGTATGGAGGAGTCTGGTCATCCTGGAATGGAGCCATGCCATCCATGTAACTATGATGACTCCTGTATACTTGTTCAAGTGCATGTTAGTGTCGTGATGAATCAACTGCCAATGGAAAAGATTTGGATCATCTGAAACGCCAAATAACTTGAGCATGGTGATTCAGTGTCCAGCTTCAACCTGATTGCCTAAACATATATTATATAACTATACAAGCGGCTGGACCACCAGCAACTCTCTTCACATCATTCTCCAGAACCCCCTTCGCCTCTTTGACTCACTTCTCTGAGGAAACATTGGATGCATCATCCACTCCGCCCCCCCTCAATGCGGGTCTCTCCAGCAGCATCTACCCTTTTGGCGGCCGGCGTTTAACGCGGCGCTTCGTCGAAGCAGCGGTCCAGCGCTTCCTCGAGCCATTGGCTGTGCAGTACCTGGTCCAACGGTCAGGTTCGAGGCCACCTGGAACATTCACCCTTCAGCACCTGCTGAGGGAATCGATGAAAAGTTATAAAAACAGAAGTGATGGGGCTGACCCGCAAGACATGTTAGTCACCGATTCTGCTTGGTGACACTGGCCTTTTGAATCCTGCACGAACACCACGAACACCACAGCACCCAAGAGAATCTTCCTGCCTGGCTCTCAAAGCTCTTGGATTGGGGTCAAGTCATGACTTTTGATTTAGCATATTTATACCATTGATGAAGAGGTTTTAAACTTACAAGCCAAATGGTGGGGTAATGTGGGGTATATCATGGTAAAAGATGAATCAAGCACCTTAGAATCTCAGGGATTTTCCACTTTCATACACTTTTCGGAATGATCACGGGTGAAGTGGACAAACTCATCAACGTGGTCGGGGCACGGATCTTCATGGGTCATCCGAGTGGCCCGAAGGCGAAAAAAGGCGCGAGGGTGTCCGAGCGTGCCAAGTGGTGTATGTATATATATATATATTTATTTACCTGGACCCTCCAAGGGGTGTCCTGGCTGGACTACCCCACACTAACCTAAAGGCTTCCAGACAGGGCACCCCTTGGAGCGTCCTGGTATATACTAGTTATATCTAGTTACTTATATACACTGATGATCTGCTATCCACCTAGGGAGGTCTGATATCTCATGTCTTGATATCTCCTGGAGAGTCTCTTTCGGGATCTGTTACACCACTGCCTGATGAATATGTTCACCTCTTGCCTAAGGAGACTGGACCCAAGAGTCTTTTTCAGGACCTACTGATGCTTTTGTTGAAGGCAACTCCCGTCGCCGTCGCCTCGGTGGCGGGTGGACGCAAGCGCTTCTTTAACCTGATGGCGCGGTTCTGGCGTAGGATGTGAAAAGGAAGAAGTCAACGACTTGGTAGCTACGATGATGATCTTGGTTATTAGGTGAAGAACTCTTTGAAGCTTATACGCAAGAGTGCATCAGCCACATTCAGCCACTGGTTGCATTTCAGTGGAGCATGGCTGCATGGCTTAATTACATTCACCTGCTCCTCACCGTTCGACGGCCGGTGACGTCTGCTACTTCGCTCGGTTGGCGTGTGCAGGGCATCGGACGATCTGATCAGTCTAGAAGCAAGTCCCTGAGATTCTTCTTGAAGCCCTCCTTGCCACCGCCTCTCTGCAGGGCATACTGGATGCCCGCATGCAGCTGGGGGATGTAAACGTCCTCGCCGTTGAACCGACCGTGCCAAAAAAGGGGCGGACTGGACGGTTTTCGGCGAAGGCTGGAGGTTGATGCTGAGGAAGTAGATTAAGGAGCCTGAGGTCCTAGGATTATTTGGATATCAATCGTATGATGCATAAGCTGGAACCCAGAACTGGGGGGCAAGCATCTCACGAGGCTCGCCCATTTTTTGCATTCTCCAAACCTTTGAAAAAGGCGTCCTAGGGCTTCTCCACCGTGCCAAACTACCTGCCTCGTTGAAAGTTGTGCAAACCAGAAATACATTGTACATGGCATATGTTGCACCCGAGAGCTCTCATGTCTTCTCGTTCACCTACAAATCACGTTCCACCCCTTGAACCTAAGTGAGTGAACCCTTACCTTCAAAATGCCCACCAGCCAAAAGATTTTGTCAGGTCCATTCCTCTCCATTCCTGGTCAAGGGGTCAAGCTGGGTCAAGCCGATCTGCGGTCTCCTCACCCTGAGCCTCTGGGTACATCATCGGTGCCAAATGTCGGAAGAGCCCGTTCCGCCGGGAAGCCAGCACAGCATTGCGACCTCGGTGGGGGTTGCTAAAGAGAGCCTCCAAAATGCCGTGGGTGAGAGTCTTTGGGGGTTTGGGATCTATGTGCAGGGGCCGGAACACCTGATTCATCCTGCGGACAATCCTGAATACATTCCCTTTCACATCCAGCAAGGGGCATGAGATCCGAATTTGGGTTCGTATTTACAGTGGTTTCAGAGTAGATGGCACAGACCCCATGATGTCCTTTAGATGGGGGTCCATATGAACCACCTCTTCGGGTCTGTGCCATCTACTCTCAATCCACTATATGACTTCCTCCCCCTTGGTGGTTTCAAGTCGGTGGCAGAATCCGCCCAAGTTCTTGTGTGTGGACCCTCAAGTCTCGTCCCAACGAGTGCCGGCGCGAACGAGTCCCGAACGACGGTACCGGTTTGAGATGGAGATGCGAAGAAAATACATGAAGATACGACATACGTGATGACACCTCAACACACATTTGAGGCTGCGAAGGAAAAAACATCACCAATCCTCCCAAAGACTTGGACCTAACGAATGGGAAAGGCCGTTTTCCTCTAGAAACCATGTCGTATTTTTGCGGGTCCATGTTAGATGTCCACGGGGTATATACTATGGAGTGTCCAGGAAGGTGCGTGTATGATCTTGTAACTTCCTTCCGTCGATGGGCTCTCCATGGGCTTCAAACCCCCCCAAACGGGCCGACTTCTGCGTCATTCCTCCCATTCCTGAGCCACACTTTCTCCTTACCAAGTCCCAGGAGCCCACAGCTTCAGAAGCCTAGCAGGAGAGACATGGTTCCACTTAACACAACTCGACCATCTGACAAAAAAAGTCTTGTCACTGGTCTTGTCTCATGGTCTCTGGGGGGGGATTCAACTACTTTCGCCAATGACTTGTTGTGTGTTTTCACCTCGGTCAGGAGATTGCAGCCCAAAACTCCTGGTTCAAAGTGCATTCTGCTGGACCTGCCAGGGGCTTCCAGGGTCTTCCAGGGGCCATGTTCCACTTCAATGTGACTTGGGTGTATCATGGTGTATATGATAATGTATATATCAATCATCAGGTGGGAATGGAGCCCGCCGGACTCGACTCGGCGAACGGCTCATGACTACGCATCATCCACCGTGTTCTTCTCTGGGCGACGCACTGAGTGAACGAGGAACATCCCAAATCGGTGTTTAATGACGTCAACTCGCTTGAAACAAGAGTCGGTGGGTTCAATCATCCCGGGTAAAGGTCCGTCGAAAAGCCAAAAATTCCAAACCAACCAGTAACAATCCAAAACTATCACCCCTAGCAACGGATCCCAAATTGCATGGTGGTTTCCTCATGGGCCTCGGTTTGAGTCAATGTCAACCACGCCTGGGCGAGCTTGTCCTTCTCAGTGCGTAGGTCACACAAATACCGCGGGCAGGATGGAAAGCAGCAATGATGGCACCTGAGCAGCGGGCTGCGGGTTTTCTGTTCCCGCTTTGGTGTTTTTTGTTCCCGAGGTGTTTCCTTTCCCGCTTTGGTGTTTTCTGTTCCCGCAAGTGTTTTGTGTTCCCGTAGGTGTTTTCTGTTCCCGCCGGTGCGGTTGAAATGTTACCGCTTTCCAGCTTTACGTTCCCGGAAAAAGTTTTCTGTGTCCAGCAGTGTTTTCCGTTCCCGTACAGGTGTTTTCTGTCCCCGCCGTGTTTGCGGCAAAAAAAGGCTGTGATTTGCGAGGGAATTGTCTTTTCCAGGGGGTCGGGTGCACGCCCCGGTGCTGGCTGGGGCTGCTGCGTCTCCACCGCTGTGCCGCTGCGATCTGCGTGGGAATTGTCTTCTGCACGGGGTCAGATGTACGCCCCGGTGCTGGCTGGGGCTGCTGGGTCTCCGCCGCTGTGCCGCTGTGATTTGCGTGGGAATTGTCCTGTCCAGGGGGTCGGATGTCACCAACCAATTGTCATGAACTAATTGTCGCCAACCAATTGCCACCAACTAATTGTCACCAACCAATTGTCATCAACCGATTGTCAGCAACCAATTCTCACCAACCAGTTGTCACCAACCAATTGTCATCAACAAATTGCCACCAACAGATTGTCACCAACCAATTGCCACCAACTAATTGTCACGTCACCAAACAATTGTCACCAACCAATTGTCAGCAACAAATTTCCACCAACCAACTGTCACCAACCAATTGTCATCAACCAATTGTCTTCTTCAGGGGGTCGGGCGCGGTGCTGGCTGGTGCTGGCCGGTGCTGGTGGGTCTCTGCCCTTCTGAAAGGGTTATATTTGAGGAGTTGTTTTTTTAAAACATGGTCCTCAACCAACTGTCATCAATCAATTGTCACGCCAACCAATTGCCACCCACCAAATTGTCACCAACCACCTACGCAGACATTCTCTCTTGCTAAGTTGCTAACATGTGGGGTTATCCGGTCCTATAATTTTTCACACGGGAAACTCTGGCTAAAAGACATTGGAACTATAAAGTGATGAATATTTGAAGAAGATAAGAATAAAAAGTGGTGGTGCTATATTATTTGGTTTCTGGGCGATTCGTGGTCAAGATTATTCTAAGATGAACAGATGGTGATAATAAATGACCAATCATGGAAATGGAAACAATATAAGATAGAAAAATGACGGTGGGATTGATTTGTTGGTTGGTATTTATTCTGATGAGCCATAATATAAAAGCATGGACATATCTTAATTCTTAATTGGTTGGGTGTTTTTGGTGCGTTAATATATTTTGAAAATACAAGAACTAATTTGTAGCAGCGATGAAGCGTCCAGGATATGAAAATAGGATGACTACATTCCCACACGTGACGCACGCGCGCCTCCGGCCAACAAGGTGTTGGCAAGGCCTTGCCAGGAAACAATTATGCAGTTGTCCGGCAAAGGCCTTCTGGAGGGTCCACGGCCGTCCAAACACAGGCGTCGCTGGCGCTTTGTGTGGGGCAGCGCCACACAGTGCACTCGCCTGTTTCTCCTGTGTGGACCTTTCCACCGCTGACGACCTGGGATGCGCTTTTGAAGGGTTGAGCAACGAACAAAAGTGCATACGCAAACAAAATGGTCTTACGCTTTCTCTCTCTCCCTCTCTCTCTTTCTGTCCCTCTTCCTCTTTATCAACGCCTAGGGGCAACACAGGTCTCTGGTGGGAGCAGCCCGGTTGGGTTGCTGATTGCCGTGAGGGTGAAAGACCGAACCGGCAACCTGAGCTTAGGCTTCTTCTGGAAGGCTTTGTAGGCCCCCCAGGCCTGAGCTGACCCCGCCACAAAGCCTCCTTCGTGCCGCGCATCACCCGGTGCGGGTCGTTCTCCTCTGCCGTTTGCTGCAATGCAGCAAGTGGAGTGGCATCGGAGAAATGCCCGACCTGCACCTGAGTGTGGTCTTGCGGCACCCTTTTGTGAGCCCAGAATTTGTCTCCTGGCGAGCACCATGCGTATGTGTGCGAGTCGCGCTGCCTTTGGCGTGTTATATTATAGTCTGAGTGCTGCAATGTCTCGGTTCCGGGCCGACATGTCCTGTTCTGTGGCCGGCGTGGCGCTGGAGAGCCTGAGCCAAGCGAGAAGCAAGCGAATATCACGTCACGTCAACCCAGATTTGTCACACCAAGGCACTGGGAGGCACATCCTGCAGCATATACACCTCCTCTTCTTTGGCAAGAGCTGCGTAGTAGTCCAGCCAGCTATGATCTGCGACCTCTTTACGCTCAGAATTTCTTGCACAACACATTCGTCCGGTACCGGTCTTCGTACCGGCGCCGCTTCTGTCTCCTTGATATAGGGCGGAGAAAGGTGTTTTCTGTTCCCGCATGGTTCGGGCGAGGTCGCGAGTATGTTCGTTCGACGACGATCAGTACCAGTAGCACTGCGACTAGTGGTACTACGAGATACTACGAGGAGTAGGAGAAGTTCTGATGAAGATTAGTGCTATTTACTACGACTACTGCAACTACTCCTACGACGACAACAACCACGGCAAGAACAACTAGTAATACTAGTACTATGACTACTACGACTGCTAGTGTAGAGTACTGCAGCTGCTGTTGCTACTACTACTACTACTACTACCACCACCACCACCTACTACCACTACTACTACTACAACTACTACTACTACGACGACGACTACTACTACTACGACTACGACTACGACGACGACGACAACAACAACAACAACTACTACTACTACAACCACAACCACAACTACAACAACCACAACTACAACTACAACTACAACTACTATTACTACTACTACAATACTACTACTATAATGATACTACTACTAACTACGATTACTACTACTACTACTACTACTACTACTACTACTACTACTAATACTACTACAATACTACTACAATACTACTACCATACTACTACCATACTACTACTATACTATACTATCATACTACAACTATACTACTACTTCTACTACTACTACCACTACTACTACTACTACCACTACTACTACCACTACTACTACCACTACCACTACTACTACTACTACGACGACGACGACGATACTACTACTACTACGACTACGACTACGACGACGACGACGACAACAACTACTACTACAACTACAACCACAACTACAACTACAACCACAACTACAACTACAACAACAACTACTACTACTACTCCTACTACTACTACTACTACTACTACTACTACTACTACTTTACCAGTACTACCAGTACTGCTACTAGTGCTACGACTATTGCTACTAGTACTCGGGCAGTTGCACATGCAAGGCCTGAGCATCATCAGAGAACACCCGGAGCAAGAGCCCCAAGAGCAAGAGCCTGAAGCCTGAAGAGCCACGGAGCAAGAGCAACAGCCTGAAAAATGCGACGCCACTTCTGTTCATCAGTATTAAAGAAACCGTGCAGAAAATCGACGAAGCCACTGGGAAGAGACCCTATATGTCAGGCAAGGCTGGCATAGATTAAAAGATTCAATCTAGAACAGCCACTACTACTGCTGCAGCAACAACAACAAGAAGAATAACAACAATATACGACAACTACAACTAACGCTACCACTATACACACCACGACTACCACTACTACGACTTCTACGACCACTCCTATATACCACTACGACGACGACGGCAATACCACTGCGGCCACTTGGCCGAGCTTGTGCCACACACTCTACCCTCATGTACCAACACGTGCCCTCACACCACGAAATTTACTCCAGCTGCAATGTTTCCCCTTACCCTTCCATACCATTCCCAGATGCGGGTCTTTGCGTGGAGCGTGCTCTTTGCGTGGAACTGTTTGGCCGTGCGAAGTCACACCGACATATCTCCTCAATTGCGCTGTCCTTCCAGAGGTTGCGGGTGCAGCAGTTTTTCTCTACTCACGCGACATTTTTGTTCCATTGCTGGCCATATCAACGCACCGCCAACAACCAACGGGCACGCGGGATCACAGAATTGCCGGGAACAAAAAACACCTTGGCGGCCACAAAAAGCACCCCACTAGCGGCAACAGAAAACACCTGCGGGCACAGAAAACATCATTCCGGGAAAGGGAAACACCACGGGAACAACAAACACCAAAATGGGAACAAAAAACACTATACCCGGCGATGCCACGTGCCACGGAGCAGCACGCGGTGGAACAGCACCACCCCAACCGCTCCCCCCAGCTTGGCCGGATCAACCGGGTCGTGAAAAAGGTGCGTGCAGTACCGCACACAGCTCTTGATGCAGAACATGGAAGCTTGGTGGGTCTCTATGGGCTGGCGTTTTCCGGCGAGAGCGGATGGCACAAGGTTCGACCAAAGGCTTCTCCACCACTTTCAAGGAGTAGACTTGGATGAAAGTTGTTCGGTTGAGACGAAAAAAGGGGTCCTTCCCCCAGGCAGTGGCCCTTCCACCACTGAACTTCAGGATCAAAAGAGGTCTGGAGTCTCAAGCAATGACCAGAAGCACATGAGAAAAAGCTCTCAGCTGATTGCAAGGAGTCCGGACAGCCACATCAAAGATGCTAAAAACGCAGCCCTGGTGACCTGGTGGCTAAGATGTTACCAGCAACTTGGTCGTTTTGTGGCCTTACCATTGAGGTGAGCTATCTTGCACCAAGAGAAGGCCAAGAGACAACAAGCCATTGGGAAGAAGTTCCAGTTGATCCTCAAAGCGGGACCCAGGCAAGGCAAAGGACATTTTTGACCCCTGAACTTCTTCCTATTGCTGCCAGGTCTGGCAAATGTTCCACAGACTGGTGGCACTGGTACCTCCCAAGTATGTGGGTCTTGGACTGTGGGAACATGGACCCCTTGAATGATGTCCGACATGTGTTGCCCATGGAGGTGCCAGAAGCTCCGTAGATCCCAAAGAGAGGCTTAAAGGTAAACATCAACTTCCCAAAATACATATCAAGCTGGAACTTCTGAGAGCTTATCCGCTCCTTGGCATAATAGCTGTGTTTTTGTTTGGTGTGTCTCTTCTCCTCTGTCCGACAATTCTGAACCCGGCAAGGCAGGTGCCCTTTCATGCCCTTTCCGCACACCTTGGGGGCCTTGCATCTGCCTGGGCTGACCACAGTAAATACCAAGTGTGGTGTACAGCCCTTTCCAAATCCGGGCTGCGAGTCTTGCTGCCCCAAAGTCTTTGCCCAGAATCAAAGCCTCTAGAAGCGCTTCAAAAGACACTTGTTGGAAGAAAGGCCGGGCCCCGGAGGCTGCTCCAAGCGACGGAGGCTTCCCTGCAAACGTTCAAATCCGAGATCTCCTGGCACCGACAAACTCATGTTTTTCCTTGTCTCAGTGCTCACCAGGCTACGAGATTGGACTCATTGGACTCAGATCTCATCAGGAAACTGCAACCCCAAAGGAAACTGGACACCACCTGCAAGCAACATGTTCCTGCAAGTGCTCCTTTGATTGAAACTACGAATATGGGCCCGCATTGTAGAATGCTCAATGGGGCCCGGGAGTACCAGCTAGATTCTAGGATATTCTATATAGGTGTTGTCGCTTCTCCACAGCTTCTAGCTGCTATGACAATGATCCGCAGGACGCGTGACTCACACCATTCGATGTCGATGTGAATCAAGGCCTTCTGGTGCCATGAAGTATTGATGCCCTAGGCCGCACTACATGATTACAGCTGCCAACTTGGAACAAAGAAAACTGCACGTTGCATTGAGACCTCCGCATGACTTGCAGTCTGGACTCGCCGCCACTGATTCTGCCCCTTCTCTTTCCCATCTTTCCCTTCCCTCGATCGGTCTTTTTGTATCTGCCCATTCTTCTCCCCAAGGCACTTGGGTTTTTTTTGGGATACCCAACCCGATACCATCCAAGCACGCATCTCACTTCGCATGAAGTGGACACTCCAGTGCTCCAACTCTACGACGAGACGCTCCACTCGGCTCCCCGAAGAGCCGGCCTTGGGCGTGAAGCGCCGCGGGAGCCCGGCATGTGCGGGCGCGAAGGTGGAGAGCTCCACTTGCCTGGTGGAAGCCCGAGTCGCAGGGCCGGTCGCGAACGCGGAGGACGGGACAGTGGAAACCTCTCAGCCTGGCGAAATAGTGAGTGAAATAGTGAATCAAAATTTGGGAAAAAGCCCGCCCAATTGACATGTCAAGTGAGTTCAAATGCGCTAAAAACCATCATTTACTTAAGGCCATCTAAGGCTTCTTTTTGGAACACCTTGGTTTCATCTACACATTGTTACACATGTCCACATCAAAATACATCGAAGAGTAGCCTTCTAACCACGTAGCCATCACTCCCGCGGCTTCCACGCAGACCGTGCCTCTTGGCAGACCGTGCTGCTTTGCGGGCGCCGCTACTTTGGCTCGCCAGCTTGGCTCGCAGCTGCTCCTGGCCAGCGAAACTATTGAGGAGGCAAACCATCAAGAGAGTGAACACGGTTTCGGCTGCATGGCTAAGGTTTAGATTGATCATGCCCGATGTTTACGCCTTCCAAGCTGACATCGTAGCGAGAAAGAGTTCAGAATCATGAGATTCAAACTTTAGGCTCAGCATACCGTGAAAGACTCTGGTGGGGAGATTCATGGACCCGAACAAGAGTGAGAAGTTCAGTCTTGGACCTGGGAACCCCGAGTGAAAAGCTCTTTGCGTGACCCATTGGGGTGGCTTTCCAACATAGACCCACTGTAGACATCTGTGTCATCCACGGTGGTCAGTGCTCCAGGTGCGGTCCGTCGCTCGGTTTCGAGCGAACCGTGCTCGGTCGCTCGGTTTCGCTCCAAGTAGGCCAAATGTCGCTGCTCCCGCGCCAGAGTATGCAGGATCTGCTCCGGCGCGCTCAGGGGCGCGAGTCCCCCGCGCCGCTGCTTGGCGCCTGAATGGCGATGGGCATGGGGAAATGGAGACTGAAAAGGATTGGAGGATATTGGAAGATGATATTATATATACAGTAAGTGGATGTCTGATTCACCATGGGGTGCCAGGATCTCCAATTTGGGGCATATGTGCGTTCAAAGGTTGCCAAGCAACAAAGTGTTGTTGCATGCTTGTGCTACCTTTAACATCCGTTTATATAACTTCCTTGATCTTCTTTCGGAGTCCCGGCAAGAGCGTAGTGCCAAGCCGGAGGACTACCATGGACCACCATCCACGATTCATGTCTATACTCATATCTGCCAAGCACATCACCGAGCAGCTCCTCCCCAACCACTCAAGGCAGTGATTCCCAAGAAAGAAGTGAGGAAAGCATGGCATGGGTCACTACAGAAGCCGCAATAGCACACCCCAAACACTCCATGGGACTGGAATATATGCCTACATTGACCGCCCTGGCACCACCCCTGGCCTGATCGGCATATATTATGGCAGTTTTATGGGTCGCGGAGGAAAGCACACCATGGCATACCCAAGTCCGATGAGCACACACCATGGCACACCCAAGTACGATGAGACAGCTCTAAAAACCTGTGGCATCTATGTCGTAAGAATTTTGCTCCATCTGATGGCTTAGAGTCTTAGAAGATCCGCCGCCCACGTCCCACCACGGCCGGGTCTTGGATCCATGTCGCTGTGGTAGCGCAATCCCTGCACATAGAGCGCCGCTTGCACCGAGCCCGGTGAGACTTCTCCCGGCAGAACGGCCTCGACAAAGGCCTCAATCTCCGCCCGCGTGGTCAAAAAAAAGAAACACATGCCGTCCGCACCGTCTGAGTGGTGTTTGTGGCCTGGTGAGTTCAAGGTGGTCTGCTGCGCCGGTCCCACCAAAAATCAAAACCTGGCCGTGCCTACTATCGGCCCGACGCATCTCCGAAGCATGTGCCGTTGGTTTCCTTTTTTTCTCTTCTCAGTTTCATCTTCACCTCCTGGCGAGGAACCCGAACCGTGGCCGTCACTGGCCGCTGAGCTGAACTTCGGAAGCGCCCTGAGACTACCCCTCAACCCTCAAGTATACGTTTTGGCCTAGGGTTTTTCGGTGGTTCGCGGGCCCCCGCGACCGCCGGTTTGGTGGGGAAGGTCCCTGTCATGGAGGGCCCGGTTTGGAGAGCCGATCGTGGCCTTCATAAAGATCTCGCGCGTCCACAGCCTCGATCCGGCGGATGGACCGATGGGAGGGGATATGCCCTAGAGACTCGGGTGTTTTTGGGGCGGTTCTAAAGCCATCGACTTACGGTAGACGGATTTAAGCTGGGGAAAGACTTGGGGATAGCTTTGGGATGTGGACTAGGGATGGCTCAACTTTGTCAACAAGTAGTGGAGGAAGCACCCCAAAAGAAACCACCAGATAGGGCTGCGCAATTGGCCTGCATATTCTTCGAGGCTCAAACAACTGGCTGGCACCTTGTACGCGGTGTCAAGCGACTTCCAGCCATGGTTCTTGGCAAAACTTGTGGCAAAAACTCTCACAGCTTTGTTCATCGCTCCGGAATCCCAACTCCGTCTCCCTGCCCCCAAAACCCCCTGCATGCAAAGGCTCGTTGAGTCGTCGAAGGTTCCTGTCTGAACCATTTTGCGCCTTCACATCCCTACAGTGCCTACCCCAAAGCATGAACACATCCATTCACCGGGCCAAGGGGACCAATCCGTCGGGTACGGCTTAGCCGGCCCCGCGTCCACCCATCAATGGGAGTTCGCTCTCGCTCCACCGCAGCATGACTTCGCGTCCGGGAGACTGTTTCATCAAGAGCTCCACCGCCTGATCGCTCGAAGGGTCCAACGTCCCTTGCAGCATGGCCATGTGGAGCATCAAGGTGCCAACCTGGCGGACGCCGACGGTGCAGGAGCGGAAGGCGCCGAATGCGCTCGATTGGAGTGCTTGGTGAAGAAAAACAACATATTAAACATCAGGGCTTCCAAAGAGGTGCCTGTTAACAGGCCTTTAAAATGAAGGTTTATATAGGTGGTGTGTCCATTAACCACCCCGACCGTGGGTCCTGGTATATGCCATGCACCGCCTGCCATGCGCAGTCAACCCTCCTCCACCGTGTTCCACCATGCTCTAATTGTTTCATGTGCCCAGCGTCCCTTTTTTGGTTGCACCTCCTCCCAGTGGAAGGGAAGGTGGGGGAGGGTGAAAGCAGCCGAAACAATGACCCAGATCTGCCCAAGGCGCCACGCCCTGCGGGGTGCAGTTGGTCAGCGCCACCTGCAAAAGACCAAAGGTAAAGGAATCGGTGCAGCCAATGTAGACGGTTTATTGAATAGAAACAATTTATTGAGAAATGAAAAGAACCCACATGAAGAGGTTCTATATAACGTAGGGCTCCAACCATCTCCTCAGAAGGTGGTTAGACCCCCCTGGCACCCACCCCAGTCCCACCTTCTCAACGGAGGTAGGCCAGGAGCCCTAGGGATACTTCAAATGTGGAGGTTTACTGGAAGGTTTGACTCAGCAACGGCAACATCATCAACAGTCTACAATTATGCCCCGGGTCAGGTCCCACTGCACCCCAGCTAAGCCTTCCCGAAGGGAACCTGCCCCCACTTTCGCACTGGTTAGTGGAGTTGTGTTCTTTTTTCGATAAGATCTGAGCTGAGACTGGCTTGTGGTGGGGCACAAAACATGTGGTTGCCAAGGCCTCCAACAAGATGTCAACCTCGATGGAACGTCTTCACAAAGGAACTATTGGAATGTCCAGGAATGTTCCTATTTCAAGGTTCTTCAACCGATGCAGGTGCAAACTCCATACGTTGCCGACTACTCAAGAATCTGGGGATTGATTGCAGCCGCCAAGATTGCTCTTTGGGGTAACTTGATTTAAAAGAATATCACAATGCTGGCGGGAAACACAAATTGACTTACCTGGCTTGGCTTGCTACACTGCTACACGTACAGGAAAATACCCGCAACGGTTTCTCGGGCAGCTGCTGCTTGGCAGATTTGGGAGCGCCTCCTTGCTTGGTTCCAACACCCTACGAGGCCAAGGGAAGGTCCAACAATCCTCCCCCACCCCAGGCCACCCTGCCTGAAAATACTTTCCCTGTGGTGCGAACAACAGCGCCGATTTCCGCTGGGCAATGACCACATCACACTCATCGGAATGCCCCTCCTGGGGGTCGACAACCGGTCTTTGAAGAGAACCGTTCTTCTGTTATCATCCGTCCTTCTCTTACATCTTACCATGCTGGAATTGCCTTTGGCTCACCATAGGTTATATGCCACACAGTGCATCAAGTTCTTCGGCAGTTTCGTCTCACCAGCTTCTGGATGAAGATGAATGAGTTTGGGGTGCTGGGGGCTGCACAACTCTTGAGTCCGATGGTTTGCTGAAGTCAGTTCATGGCAACTTATTCCACAGAGCTACTGACCGTTGGTCACATTCTAGCGGCTTAGATTAAATTGACTCTTGACTTATATAGATATTATATTGAACAGTCTGTGTGTGTGTACCACCGCATTTTTCCTGTCTTCTTCTTTGTTGTCCTTTTTCTTTTTCTTTGTCTTCTTCTTCTTCTTGTTTTACTTCTTCTTCTTCTTCGTATACGCATGCATTCAGTGAACCGTGAACTGATTTCATATCCAAGTGCTCTACGTCAAACATCCTCAGGTGTTGACCCACCTTTAGAACACCGGTGGGGTCGTCCTGATCTGGACATGCAAAACGATGCCAAAAAAAAACTGCATTAATTCACACACTTCACTAACCCAAGCATCCCAAACCGTTGCCTGTTGGTATTTGGGACGGGCAAGTGGGGAGAAAACGGACGTCTGAAATCTCCCTTCCAAAGCCTGTTTCATTCATGTATGTGCATGCGCTTCAGTCATGTTTCCATGTGAGGGCTCCCCTTATACTATAGACTATACTAATCTATACTATATCCCTTCCTCTCATACGTATGATCTCTATCTAATCGAATCAAATCTATAGTGGATCACACATAGATGGCATTTGACTCACGCTGGATAAGATGGCATAACAGCCATTTTTTGACATTTTGTGCAGATGGCAGTTGATTGAACGGGGGGGCTAGTGTGCCATCTTAAAAGCAACAAAAAAGACCGGACAAAACCTGAGTCAATGTCCTCAATCAAAGCGATCGATGCGAGTGTGCTGGAGGGGAGGCTTGAAGGGGAAGGGGAGAAGAGAGGGCAAACTAGAATGAAGGAGGAACCAGAAAGAGCAGAGCAAGGAAAGAACAAGGAAAGACCAAAAAAAAGAAAGAGGGAGAGTAGAGGATAAATGCCAAACAAAAGAGGAAGAGAAAAGTAGGAAGGCGGAGCAGGGCCCCTGGATGCTTATGGGAGATGGGAAGGGTAACAGCTGGGAGAGGTGGGAGACCTAGGATGAATGGGAACACTAAGATGGCACATGCCAGGTGATGAGAGGGGAGGCTGGAA